TATGTAAGATATTAAGTAGTCAGGACAAGGAACTTACGAGATTTAAAGATCAGGGATGAAGATCGGGTTGATACTTGAGAGGATTTCAGCCAAGAGGAGGAAATGAATGAACAAAATGACCTAGACTTCACCATATAGGAGGAGTTTACGGCACACATGGAGTTTATGGACGTAAAACCCCATTTGGTGGCCGTGAACTCCTGGTCAAGGTGTTTTAGACTTGTTCTTTGAGCTATAGATTCAGCAGATAAACCCCGACACTTATCCTTTAAGTGTAGAAGGCTCAGAACGCTCAAATAAACTCCTAATTGTGCTAACAGATAACATCAATGAGTTTGACTTTTAATGAAGTGTTTAACTATACAGGATAGAATTTTTCGGGTTGTCACAACCTAAAATCCAAAGTGGTTCAAACTATTGTGTGCTCATTGAACAAAATAAAGAATCCAAATTTTCTTCTTGAAATGTCACTTTTTTTTATCTTCCTACTTACGTGAATTGCTGACAAATATTGTAAAACGATGATAAATGTTTTCAAATATTATTAATTTTATGACAGTTATCATCATTTCATATCGATAGGAAGATAAATAGCAAAAAAAAAAAAGATAGAAGGATATTTAATTTCTCTACAAATATTATAAAGATATTAGTAACTAGGAGCTAGTTGTTTACAAAATAATCACGTAGATATATGTATATTATTGTGTTAACAGTTTTAAAAAGAAGAAAGTGATTAAAGCTAAACAAGAAAGTGATTAAAGCTAGTGATCTCTAAGGAAAAAAAAATGAAATATGTTTGATGAAGTATTGTGACAAATGACCATAAATATCTAATTGGAAAAAATACTACTAGTTGCAATTGTAACACTGCTACACAAGTGATTTAATAATGCGAACCATTCTTTATTTTTGAGACGGTTGATGGTAAAAAAAATGTCTCATTAAATGTATTGAGCATTAAATAATCCACGGACCGTTTTAAAAAAACACCAGATAAATTTCTAGAAGCTTTTGATAAAGCGGTTAAAGACGAATAACATCAAAAAAAGATTTTTTAATGCTACTTCATATAAAAGCATCATTAAATAAGGATTTTTTGATGCTTTTTTTTTTATAAAAGAGCATCAAACGATCAATTAATAGCATCTTAATTTAGGTCCAGGAAACCATCTCAAATAATAATAAAACCATTTTAAATAATAACTTAATAGCATCAAAAGATAAATTAATAGCATCTTAATTTAGGTAAAGAAATCCGCTTCAAAAAACCCTCCATGGCCGCCACCAAATTCCACACAAACTGCATCAGTAAAACCTAAAACCGCCCCAAATCATCTCTTTCCCTCTAAAATTTTCATTTTAGCTTTATAATATTTTCATTTCGCGCCAGCTGGTCCATAGCCGAATTCGTAAACCATTCTTTCTGTAAAACATCCATAGTCGACGCTACATCAGAAGACATTCACATCGCCACGCGACCTCTATTTCGGCCGTCCCCGATGCCTAAATCGCTCCGCAAGCTTCGGTTTCAATACGTTGGCATTTTCGAGTTCTTTGTCGTATAAGGTATGTATATAAATTGATTTGTTTTTTTTATACTTTAGGAATCTTTAAGAATATGAGAAGATGATGAGGAATCTTTAGAATATAAGATAAGATAAACACGTGATTGTCTTTACAATATAGTATTTTTTCCTTTTTTCAAAAAGTGTCATTACTTTACGTTATACTTCAGAAATCTGTATTATCTTTAGAATATGAGAAAACATCATCTGATGTCGTATTCTGTTTAATAAATGTAATATTTGGCCCACATATATGGAGTCTACCAATTTCATTAGATCTATAACTTTTATGTTGGATTATGTTTTTTTTTTCTTATAATATACTATTGTATTGGAATATGGTTTTTGTTGCTCTAGTGTTTATCATGTTCTAGTGTTTATCATGGGTAAAATTATTTTTAATTTGTATAATTTGTTAGGTTATAAAAATGGATGAGGTACAACCAATAAAAAGAAAAAAAGGTCAACGCGGTATGGCTGCATTCAAGAACAATTATTGTCCTAAAGAGTATAATGTTGAATTCAATGAGAATAATATCCCAAATTATGGTATGTCAACCCAATTTATGTCTTGGTTTGGTATGAATGTTCAACAAAGGTTTCCAATAGATGAAGATCCAGGTAAAGTTAAAGATAAATATTTTGAAGATTTATGGTTGGAAGCCAATGTATTATATTTTAATTTATTAAAAATATGAATACTTGTTAGTTAGTTATTATGTTTAACATTTTTTGTTTTGAAATTGTAGAAGCAGTGGAATATCGAGTTTGATGAGATGAAAGATTATATGAAGATGAGAGTTGTGAAACTTGAATCAAATTTTAAATCAAGGCTAGTTTCAAATTTTTTAAATAAAGAATTAAATGCATGTGCTATATATACCTTTATACCTGGCGATGTATGAGATTGATTCGTTGCACAAAAACTACCTTTGAGTTTTTGGTATGTATTAATTGTTTATTTATTATTATTATTATTGATAATATTATTAGTATGTTTACAAATAATTAATAACATTTCGTTGATATGTGGTGTGAAATATTTAATTTTGAATTAAATGTAGTGCTACAAACAAAAATGTAGTTGGGAATGTGGATATATAATGATCAAACACATAGGGGAGTTTGTTGAGACCATTCAAAACAATTTTCAAAATAAACTAAGTGTTTATATATTTAAAATATAAAATTTTCTATATAGTAGTATATATATTTATATAATTTGTTTGTTTGTTGCAGTTTTGGAAAATGAAGATGTTTGTTTTGCCTGATAAACTTGAAGATATTATTTTAAAAATGATAGCGCATTTGATTGAAATGGTGAATGTTAGTTGGAAAAGAAATCACAAAGAATTCATTAGGATGTTTTTTGTTTTATTATAACTAAAACATAAACTATAAATTAATTATTTTTTGTGTAATGGTGCAATATTTTGTTATACATTTTTGTTTATTGGTATGTTTTTTTGCCGCCATTGATGGCAAGCGAATTGTGATATTTAATAGTGCGTTTTTTTTTTTGGTGTCTTCCTTATCTATAAGGTGGTTCTACATTTTATAATGTTGTTGACTAACAACATCAACAAATGATTGATCGTATTTTATGTTAACATTCATATTGTATTTTAAAAAACGGATTATTTTCTAAGACTATTCAATAACAACATTAAAACATAAGTATTTTATGAAACTATATTTTATAAGGCGGTTTTAGATAGCATAAAAAAATAAATCTATTTTAAGAAGCTATTTTTATGAGGTAGTTTTGGACATTTTCTAAGGTGGTTGTAGAACCGCCTAAAAAAACAACACTATTTTATGATGTTATATTTTTTGATTTCTTTATGAATATTATAAAGATATTAGTAACTAGGAGCTAGTTGATTAAAAAAGAATCACATCGATATATGTATAGTATTGTGGTAATAGTTTTAGAAAGATGAAAGTGATTAAAGTTAAATAAGAAAGTGATTAAACCTGGTGATCTCTAAGAAAAACAAAAATGAAATATGTTTGATGAAGTAATGTGACTAATGACCATAAATATCTAATTGTAAAAGATACCACTAGTTGCAATCGTAAGCATAATAGTTGTAAAAATGTTAATGAAATCCTTTTTTTAATGATTTGCAGTAATTGATAGAGAGCAAGTAAAAAATGCAAAGCTTTAATAAGTTCTATCAAACCCATTTCTAGCATATATTCTCATAGTGGGAATAAAACATAATTTTTTTCTGAACCGGCAAATACAAATATAGTATTCCCATATACTCCTAAACTAACACCTGATTTTACCTATATAATTTTACTCCTAAACTAACATCTGATTTCACCTATATCTACGATGGGACTTGAACCATCGACCTTAAAAAGAGAGGGCACCACCAAATACGGATGGCTAGAAGCCCTTTGGTGAATAAAACATAACTGAACACGATATATCCAACTAATAGAATGTTAATATGATGTAACATGAAATCATGATATTCCAATCTCCTTAATTATGTTAATAATGTATTATTAGATCCTATATCTACGAAATATATGAAAACAAATAAATTCCCTTAAAATGAAAAACATAGCCTAAGAAAATATTTTTAGTTGTGTGTAAAGAAAATGTCCAATTCTACATCAAAGTTAATCATGTATTATTAAGTAATGTTTTTTTTTCAAAATATGAAATGATTAAACAATATAAATTATATTATCATATTTTATAAAATATATAATAAAAAAAAGATAAATTTGTTAATTTTTAATGGAAAGTGATTTATACATAACAGTTTTTTATCATACATAACAATATATGTTTTATATAGTTGTATAATACAACTATTTAAAGTATAAATTGTTTTGTATAAAGAAAAATTGTTGCACGAATCAATTTCTATTTTTAATATATTTAAAAAGTTATAACAAAAATAATAAATGCTTGATATGTTGATCATTATTTATTACGATTTTGAGTAGATTTTCATTATTAAAAAAAAGGTGGGCAGAAAATTAATCAAGAAAAAACTACAAGCGAATTTACCATAACCACTTCCTGGAAAAGGGTTTCACATTATCATCTTCCACACTTCCAAGCATAGCGATGTTCAACAAGTATAAGCATAAAAGCAAAAACTATGTTCCATAATGCTTGATCTTATAATATATGCATGTATCATCTATTAAGCTAGAACAAGCTGATACACAAGTTCATAACAGGTATTGATCGTTTAATCAATCAGATCATCTAGTATGCATGCAGAAAATGAAATAGCTAAAAACTTCAAAAGGAGATAATTTTTATATCATTTATTCATCATCTCATAATCATATACCATAACTAGCTACTGTGCTACAATGGTGGCTTGTTATCTTTATTCCCGATCTACAATTCGCCTAATACACGACCACTATTTCACCACCATTACCACTAGGCAAACATTAAGTCTCAGTCTTTGGGGTCTTCAAAGATGACCCACTTTCGGCAATGGATCGGGAGGACCCGAATTCCACCTTCTTTACTTCAATTGCTTCTGAAGCCTCTTCTTCGGTATCAAATGTACCAACCCAAACATGTGATTTCTTAACTGGGTCACGAATTTTCGCTCTCCATCTACCCGATTCAGTCTTTCGAACACCCATGCACTGTTTCCGGGTCGGGTTGTCATCAAGCTTCGCCACCTTTTTTCCTTCGCGAACTCCCTTGGAAACTGGTGTCACCTTCTGGTTTTCGGCCTTTTGTCTAAACTTCTCTTTCTTTTTGGTGTAAGCTTCAAAAGCTTCCTCAGCGGTGTCATAGGTACCCAACCAGAGCCGCTTTTTCTTAAACGGGTCACGGATTTCAGAGCACCACTTGCCCGATTTCCTCATTCGGACCCCACGATACTTCTTCATTTCCTTGTTGTCTCTGGATTTGACCCCAAGAACAATCTTGTGAACAATACCACCTTCGTCCGATGATGAATCGGTGGCGGCTTTGGCGGAATTCACCATTTTTGTGCCACCAGGTTGGTCCGCCATGGCTGAGCCCCCTCACGCAAGCACACAAGAAACACGCAGATAAGACGAGGAGAGAGAGAGAGAGAGAGAGAGAGAGAGAGAGAGAGAGAGAGAGAGAGAGAGAGAGAGAGAGAGAGAGAGAGAAATTAAGAAAGAGAATGTGTACTGACAACGACAGGGCTCGTGCTCTTTTAAACTAGATTGAGTTACATAAATGGTCCTTCGAATGTCCGAGTGATATTTATGGTCCTTGATATTAGAATTGACCTATTCAAATCCCTTATTTATAAATTTTATATCTACTTAATCCTTATTCATTTAAGTTTAACTTTGAGGTTAAGTTAATCATTGATCTTTGTTATATGTAATAAATGATAATTATACTAGACAATATTTAATATTTAATGTTATTTTTAATAGGAATTGACATTAAGATTTTCTTGCAAATATAATTAGTTTCGATTCTAGATGTTTATATAATAAATAGAGTAAATTACACGAATGGTCCCTATGGTTTAGGGTAATTTGCACGTTTGGTCCCTAACTTATTTTTTTAACTCGGAAGGTACCTACTGTTTGTTTTTGTTACACGTTTGGTCCCTATCTTACCTAAAAAGACTATTTTGCCCGTGATTTTTTAATTTATTTAAATAAACACACTCCCAACCTCACTCCACTCACCTTACCCTACCTATCCCATCATCTTTCTCTAATCAAATAATAATCTTTTTAGGTAAGACAGGGACCAAGCGCGTAACAAAAACAAATAGAAGGGACCAAACACGTAACCAAAACAAACAGTAAGAACCTTCCGAGTTAAAAAAGTAAGTTAGGGACCAAACGTGCAAATTACCCCAAACCATAGGGACCATTCGTGTAATTTACTCTAATAAATAGTTATCGGTTTATATAAATTAACATTGTATACATATAGGATATAATATCTAGTTTGAATCTAAAGAATTTATGTTTTTACATGATAATCATGCTCTACTTTTTTTTTTCCATTTTTATCTCTCTTAAGTGCAAAAAAGACTATGGTCAACAAATGACAAACGACAAATGAGAAATGGCGCGACTAATTGACTTGTAATCACATAGTACTAACATCCAAATTTAGCTTCAAATGTTTGATCAAACAAAAGTCCCGCACGCAACTAATACACTTGTAATCACATAGTACTAACATCCAAATTCAGCTTCACATGTTTGATGGAACGAAAGTTTCATATTTATCATGGGTGAAACTATTTAAACATCAGGCTCTCTTAGATACAAGGTTATCTACGACATTAACGATATTCCTCATCCTTTACAATAAATATGAAATATAAGTATTTGAATGAAATCGATGCTTACACCATTTGATAATAATCATGTCATATAATATGGGGCTCCATTTAACGACATTTCCCAAGCATTTAAAACCTAATCCATTGGCCTATGATCATTGGATAAGTATCAATAGTTTATTTTACAAAAGCAAAGGATCTTGCATTTCAAGCCACGAACACGAATGTAACACATTTTTACTCGAGTATATTCCTTATCTTGATGCAAATTGATAGTTCCCGAAAGATCTTGATGATCAACATAATTATGTTGGCTGCATATTTATTAAATAACACATGTTTCAATAACTCGTTTCTAGATTGCTATCTAAATTTGAAACTAAATCATCCTTCACCAACCAAAACTTTCCAACATTCTATTTCAATATTAAGCATTTTGAAATTATAAAAATAATATCATTGGACATGAAGATCCTTGATATCCTTTTGTATACATCACTATAGATCTAAATCCCTTATACAACCTATATTATCTTGTTTCATATCAATTATGGGTTGGAAAATAACTATGCCATCATAGCTTCCTAATACAAGGAAAAGGTGTTATATTAGGTACGTTCCCCTCTCTATGAAAATGAGCCCAATAAAGCTTAATTTAGAACCCTAGATACGTTTTAATTAAGGATATAATCATATCCCCTTTTAACCTTGACCGTGTCTCCAAAATTGGTGAGTTGTAGAGAACATCTAACTGATTTCTTTATTACTCTTGAGTTTTGGGATTTATGATACTAAAAGATAAAAATCTTCATTTGTAAATCGACTATTATAGCATAAATATCACTCTCATGTGTCTAAGCATGGTAGAAAGGAACAAGTTAATCTTATAATTTTACGAAACTCAAATCTACAACATCATGAGTGCACCATTGATGTAAGTTTACTTCATGGTTCATCCTGGATGGATTTATTCTTTTATAGTTCATTTTTTATTCATGACAAGTAATACTTTTTCTTTATTTATTATGCATGTGTGTTTAATAATTGTTTCGATCGAACAAAATGCTAACACCATTAAGAATGTATTCCAGTCCTTTGGAACCTAATTTATGCAACAGTCGTAACCATAGTAAGTAAAACATGTTTCTAGATAATTTAAAATGGCATAACCATCCTCTAGGACATAAAAATAACTAGCCCACACTTTGGTATTTTGGTCATCACTTATAGCTTGTAGCTTACAAGGCTAATCATAGTTTAACCAATGTGGTCTTAACCATTGTTTCTACAAATAGGTGACATTTATCTTAAATATTTAAGAACCATCTAAATACTTGTTTCCAAATTATAAACAACTAATGAATAAGCAATCATCAAATCCAGTTAAACCTTATGAACCCTAATAACATCATGAAGTTCAAAAAATAGAAGGTTAGTGTTACTTTCGATGACAATCCCTTGATTTAGAGTATTAACTTAGGATATTACATCCCTTATGTTTTCAAATCTCCAAAAATTAATAAGTAAGGGTAGAACGTTTAAGGGGCCTAAGCGACCATCCGTCTTATTCCATCATCCCGGGAGGTATAATACGACCTATAAAAGGGAAAGAAATCAGAATTCTTTTTCAAACGCTCGAAAAGGAAAAGGAACAAACCTAAATTAAGTGGATTAGGAAATATATCAGTTTTTATTGGTAAGAGAAATCCACTCCTATCTTTTATTTTATTGTAGTGATTATGAAACCAGGTCAAAATACTCCTGCATATATATGTGGTTTTGAGGCGTATTATATATGGTTCATTTTTTTTTTAAATAACATATAGTTAGGTATGTTTATCGTTTGTCTTTTATTTATCTGAAGTGTTTGAAATTTATTTATTTGATTATCTACTGTTCTTTGATTATAATAAGCCAAGAGATCAAGAAAGAGAATTTGTACTGACTTTTAGCTAAAACCAAGATTGTAAAAGTCGTTAGACAGTGGTCGGACGTTCTAATGAGGTTAAATGAGTAATCGTTTTAGGCAGGGATTGGTCGGCGTTTAGACGGAGACGCTAAATTGTCATAGACTTCATTTTTAAAAGTTAAATATTACCCATATCGTAACAAAGTAAGTAAATAACCATAAAACATTTACATATTTAAATCGGCTAAATATTTAACTCACCATATATCATAATTTTTAGACTAATCGATGTTCTTTCTCGTAATTTATTCATCAATTATCATAATTTAGTCAATGATTATCATACATTTGAATAATAGCGATTTTTTTTTTTTTGAAATTTTGACTGTTTGGCTTTTTGAACAGCTTAGACTGCCTAGGACCCTCAAGACCGACTCTGATTAATTCAATCAAGTTGCCTTAATCGTACATAGTAAGATGTCGTCTGGAACCTAGGCACACGCTAGATTGATTTTTACAATACTGGTTAGAACAAAAAAAAAAAAAAAAAAAAACTTCAATTCAAAAACTACATCATGTAGCGTTTAACCAAAAATTCTATTATAATTATACATATTCCCTTAATGACCATTTTTCAAAATCAATGATGCGTTTTAGACGAGTCATTTTATGTATTTTTACATGTTTAAAAAACATCCAAATACATTTTTCCAAATACTCATATATAGATAAAAGTTATAGTTTTCAAGTTACAACTATCAACTTCCAACTAGTTTTGTCGAATATATCTATATCCAGTTTAGTAGGTCATTCCCTTAATGTGATATAATCTGAACTAAAATTTTCACTTAAAAAAAGATATGGTATAACAAAAGTAACAAATTGTTTATACCGGATATAGAATCTTGTCTTTACTAACCAAAAAGATAATAGAGTTTCTTAAAACTAAATTTTTATGATTTATAAGAGGTAAACAAAATTTCAAAAAAGTTTAAAACGAGGGTCTAAATAGACAGTTTTGTTATTTCGGAACAAAAAATGTCATTTACCAAGGGTTTAGTGACCACATTTACAATTGACTTTTTAAAATATTTTCAGACATTAATATTTCACAACATTGTACTTTTTCAAACATCGAACAAGAAATGTCATTTATGCAGGTTTGGTATATTATTTTAAATGTCATTTACCTAGGTATTCTATACTATTTTTAGTATATTTACAAATTTTTAGATCCAGTCAAATATTGTCATTTAGTCACCATACGCCTCGAGAAAAGCAATATAAATTTAAAAGTTAATGATTTACAAAAATAATAAATTTTGACTTAGGTTGTACGATATATTGAGAACCATAGGATTCGGTGGTGTGGTTCTGTGGTCGGAACCGTACCAACGAACACCACACCATAGGTGCGATGTAGGAACAAATGATCATTCATTATCGTTCCTTCTCTCCACTTATTATTTGTTGATGAAGTTCTTTTTCCAACATATATATATATATATATATATATATATATATATATATATATATATATATATATATATATATATATATTTGTGTGTGTGTAAAAATTCAATAGAGAATCAGTATTAATCAAGAAACCAAGATACCAATCTAAATGTCGGAATATAAAGCGGTTAACTGCAAAATAAAGGGTTGTAGACTTTTTTTCAATGGACGCACATGCACCAGATTATAACAAGACTCTTTTTTTTAAGCCGTGTTTTTATCGGAAAAAAAAATGCATATACCATTTTTCTTGCTTTTTCGTCCTCTTTCCAAAAAGATCGATATTAATATACAAAACAATGATT